ATCTATATTAAAGCCTAGGGCAAATTTTGCTTTAAAATTTGATGCTGGTAAAAACTGTGTTTCCTTCCTAGAAATAAGAACTGTAACATTTACTTAGTTTTCCCTTTTACCATGGCTGTCAGGAAGCTCAGAGTCAAAGCTAGTGTTCAATGGTCTTTCCTTCTGCTTGTTATTATTATTCCCTTCATTGGTCCTGATTTTCTATTTCCCGTATGTATTTGTGGCTTCCTAGCACATAATTTTTTTGTAAATTGTTACACATTCTTAGGGAAAAGAGAGTGTGACAAAACACAGACAAGTTGTATTATTTGTCACTGGACCAAGCATCTCCATGTGGGAATTCCTACGTAATCCCTGTCCCGGGTCATGGCTTTAATAGTCATTCTGACAAGACAATGAGACATCGCCTCAGTACCCCTGCCTTCCGCAGAAAATAACTTGAATGCAAAGGGAATTATTTATCCATTGCTACATTTTTTAAAGCCTAGCATCTTAAAACAACGAACATTTATTATCTCACCCAGTTTCAGAGAGTCAGGATTATGGCAGCAGTTAATGTGGGTGGTTCTAGATGAGTGTTTTAGGAGATTTCACCAAGATGTTTCCTGGGATTCCATCATCTGAAGGCTTGACTGGGGCCAGCGCGTCAGCTTCTAGGGAGGCTTTTTCCAGTCTCCCTAGGAAAGTAATCCAAGCAAGGACAAAGCTGCAATGCCTTTGTGACTGGTCTGGGCAGCCATACACTATCACTTTCTCCACATTCTTCTCATTCAAAGTGAGTCACTAAGGACAGAACACACTCAAGGGGAGGGGGGCAGGATACTCCTTTATGAGGGAGGACTATCAAAGAAATGGGGGCATATTTTAAAAGCACCGTTCAGAATATACAACTACTTTCATTTTTTTAATAGCACATCTCGTCCAGGCACAGCTCCGTATTCAACATGCCTTTACCAACCTGCAAACTAGGACAGAAAAAAGGTGGAAAAGAAAATGTCTTTCCTCAATTGATATGCTGCTGGCATGCATCCTGTGCTGCCTGCTCAGGAAGGTCCAAATATGGGCAAACGTGGGAGAGAGACCGTGACCCCACGTGGAATAAGAGAGAGGACAAACATTTCAAAAGAACAGAAAGGGAACACTTCCCCTAGCCCGCCTCAAGGTCGGCCCCACTTGAGACCGGAATGGAAGAGACCGGAATGGAAGGCTAAAACCCAGGTGTCAAGGTATCTACAAATGACACACCTGTTTCGTCAAGCCTTCCCGTTAGACCCCAGGTGAGACAGGGAATGGTGACTCAGAAAGAAGGCGTGGGGAGGAGGGCTCAGCTCCGGAGGTGAGGGTGCGTGGCCGGGAGATGCTCACCACAGCTCACGAGGCAGGTCAGTGTTGGGAGGAGAAAGCCAGTAACTCCAGGTGGCCAGATGTTGGGTGTCTGATCTGTTCCCCTGCTGTTCTGGATCTTGAGGTCCAGGCATCTTCTTAGGTTGCAGGGACACAGCGTCTTCGTCTAGAGATCGGCCCGTCATTGTGAAGGAGACGGCAGGAAATGGGACGCAATATGCTTGGTAGCAGCACCTCAGCCCAGCTGCCCTCAGGAAGCTCTCCCAGTGTGCGTGGTGACTCGAAGAGAGCCCTGTGCTTCCTCATGTCCCCAGGGACCCAGGGGTGCAGAGGATGGCGGCTCTCGACACGGAAGGAGCAGGAGCCCTGGGCACGGGCCCCCTCCTGCCTGCTGGCGGCCACGCGCACACGCCCCTGTGTGCGGTTCTCTCCTTCCCGGCCGCTCCCCCCGCCATGCCATCCCTGCTTCTGGATCCCCTCCCACCCCATGCCCCGACACTGAGCGGGACACCGTGGCCGTCAGGGTGATTCACGGGCGAGCTCGGTTTTTCTTCTCCTTAAAGTCAGCTTTGCTCTTGCAAAATTGCCATAAAATACTCCAGTCCTCGCCAACGAAGGAAGCAGTCCTGTGAGGTGTGTAACGTTCTTGTCATGGGGGAATTAACTAGCCTAAAATATGGGTGAGCCAGAGAGTATGTTAAGGAATAAAGCACCCAACGTGGCACTTTTCTTTCTTTATGAAGAAACCCGGTTCCTGAGGGCATTCAACGTGTTCACTGGGTGGCAGGCCGCCCGGCCTGGCCCACACGTCCCCCACTCAGCCACCTGCTGCCCCAGGAGAGGACGCTTTCCTGGCCCTCCGAGGCTGTGTTCGCTGCCCTTCCCTGGCATTCAGAGAGCCCTGTTGTTTCGTGTACACGACAGCGGGTCCATCTCTACCAGAGCTGAGCCTAGAGGGAGGGACTCAGGCTGTTTGCATCTGTGCTCAGGGCGAGGTGCTGCCGCAGGTGCTTCACTTAGGGAAGGGATCCAGAAACAGGGGTGGCGTGTGGGAAGGGGGGGGAAACCCACATAAGGGGTGTGCGTGTGGTGGTCCCCAGCAGGTAGGAGGGGGCACGTGCCCACAGCTCCCACTCCTCAGCTCCTCCCTGGTCAAGACATGCCATCCTCGCTCGCCCTCCAGGTCCCCGGATGTGCAGGAGCTCAGGGCTCTTGGCAGGCACCAAGCATACTGTGAGAGATTTCTGAGGGCAGCTGGGGTGAGGTGTCTTTGGGAAGCTGATTGCCTCAGCAGTGACTCATTTAAAATCTGGACACTGGATTGAGGCAAAGCACAAGAGGCGTGGTCACCAGTGAACAGAGGGGAGGAAGCGTTTCAGAGGCCAGAGCAGCAATCTAGCGCAAGGTCACAGGAACCTGAATTCATGCTCTATCTGTGGAGACAGAAAAAGGCACAGAAGGGAAAGCCCTCTTGAAGAGCACAAGTTGACCTTGAAGACTAGATGTGGGAGACCATGAAGGGCAGCAGGACTGAGGGTGCCTCCTTGTGTGCTGACCTGGCCGCCTGGGTCAGGTCAGAGAGCACTGTGAAGCCTGGTGGGGCTTATGTTATTTTTTTATTTTATTTTTTTTTAAGATTTCTCCATCCATGCATACAATAACTGGGGCACAGTCCAGAGGCGTGGGGGTGAAAGGACTCACCAGAGACAGAGTGGGGAGCAGAACAGGCAGACTGACGGAAATATACTGCTGAGGGGAGCAGCGGGCGAGACAGGAGAGGTCTGCTGCACCATGTGGGTAGCTCCCAGGCCGGGGATCAAACCCATGCTGCAGTGGCTGCGGACAGCTTCGTAGGTTGCGTCCCAACCCCTTGCACCACCAGGGAGGCCCGGGCTTATGTTGTTATGGCAGAGATGGGAGAAGTTGGTGCCAAGGCTTAGGAAAGGGAGTGAGAAGCACCAGTGAGGGGCCAGCTGAAGTGCGGGACTCTGACTTTTATGTATGATATTGACCCCATGCTACGTGAGGGTGACATTTCCTGCTGAGCGGATATAGGAACACGTAACGTTGACAGCAGATCAATCAAGCCTGAGATGTGTTGCGTGGGTCTGTACAGACAAGGGAACAGGGGAATTGAAGATATGCTAAGAGCCTGAAAAGTGCTAGCCCATATGTTAAATGTTATAATGGGCTCTAGATGATTTTTGCAATCTTTGCAAATACTCCAGAAATAATTAATTCTGTAATATGGTGATTTTTCCTGTCTGTGACCTGTTAAAGAAAATGAATGATTCTGGGGTTGGTGCTATTGAGTATTTTTATGGCCAAAAAGATTTCTTTTTAAATGGGATCATCCAGAATTTCCTCGCAGGCTCGTGGGTGACTGGGTGCCTTCCTCAGAAAGGGCTGAGCTCAGGGCACGTCCCGATTTGGTTTCCCACTACTGGACTCAGCTGTCCTGGCACGAGGGACCTATAGAAACCAAAAGGGCATAGGAGAGTTTCTTCTTCTACCCAGGCCTTTATTAGCATAGATTTGCTTCTCAGCCAAGTTTCATCTATTGTTTTCTTTGCATTTCTTCACTCCCTTTTCCACTTTCCCCAATTCTTTTCTATCCCTGCCTCTCCTGGTGCTGTGAAGTGACAGGAAGATATTTGAGTCCACCCCAGCATGCCCTGATAGGTCATTTCCTTGGGGACCATGCTGGTTCGGTTCTGCTCCAACTACCCTGAAGAGAACCAGGCACTAGGCAGGGTTAGTGGAGCCTGCCCACTCCCCCACCCCCTGTCAACGTCCACTGTGCTCCCTTTCAGGCAGAAGCCACTGCTGTCCTTCCCCCGCCAGGTCACCAGGGCCAGGGGCCGAGAACTTCACCCAACTCTGCTGAAAGTTCTAGAGCTTTTGTTTCTTTGGTTCTTTTTTTTTAAGAACTTCTGGGTTGATGGGAACTTTATCCCATCTAGAATGAATTTTCAAACCTTTGGTACTGGCTTTAAAGGTAAGTCTGCTTTGAAGACTGGTGGAAATTTCAATCAGATTCCTATTCATAGTCAAGGAGAGAGTGGGAACTAAAAATATCAGCATTTTGGATTTTTTTTCTTCTAAAGTACCGAACAGAAATGCGGCAAGTCCTCCCCAGTCACGTCACTGGAACAGTGGCTGGGTGTGAGCACCCAAGCCCTCCCCATGAGCACCCAGCCCTGGTGTGAGCATCCAGCCCCCATGTGGCCACCCAGCCCCGGTGTGACCACTCAGCTTACATGTCAGCACCTAATTCCAGGGAGCCTAGGACTCTCACACCAAGCAGCCACTAGTTTTCAAAGCTGTTTTTCTAAACATGTAAAATGAAGTTCTCTAAATACATTACAAATTTAACAAGGAAGACAATTTGGCTACGGAAAGACCTCAGAGCAGTCAGGATGTTCGGAGTATTAAAAGCCAAATTAGCTGACAAGTATCATCTCTACTCCATGTGCAGCCTGACATCAAGCAGTTCTAAAAGTTATTAGCAGAGCATTGTGGCCAGAGCGAGCTCCGTGCTGCTTTCAAGCTCGTGTTCATTATTCATGGGCTGGTTTTTCACGCTGCCCTCCCAGGGCAGGCTCATCTCTAGGTAGGAACAAGGCACGCTCGCGTGGGGTTGGAAAATATCTTACTTGAAAAACAGTCCTAGCGCAGACACCGGCTGACCGTGGACGGCTTCTCGTGAGTCAGTCTTCCCAAAAGAGGAAGGATTCCTTTAAGAGAAAGAGAGAAGGAAAAATAAATGAAATCTGCCAACCTTTTTTTTAAACCAGATCTGTCTTCTGGAATTCGATTTAAATTAAGACAAGATGACTCAGTCTGCCAATGTCTCATTAAAACAGAGATACCTCAAGAAGGCCAGAAGCTTGGACCTACCTAAAGAGGTTGGATACAAATTGTTCTTCCATTTCGGGAGCTCTGCTCTCCCAAAGACAAAGGCATCTGGCAAAGTTCTCCATTTCTTGCCCAACAGGGTCAAGTTGCCCCTTGGCAAAAGGACTCACATTCTGATCGACAGGTTGAGTTAACAGTTCATAGCCAAGGTAATGACCACTTGGTAGGACCACAGCAAAGCTAATTATGGAGTTCATTAACAGGAAGCTTCATTAACTTATGAACCAGCCAGCAGGGACACACCGCTGAAGGTCACTTGGGGACAGATCAGTCCTTGCTGTTTTATTTTCGGGTCAGGGAGAAGCAAGAAAATATTTACCAATAAAGTGGCACTAAAGGAAAAATTGTTAAAGATCTGAAGCGCCATGGTAACGCTCCATTCTGCGCTGCAGCCAGGAGACAAGTGACAATGATAACAATTTCTGGTAAATTGTATTAGATAATGCTTGTCACAGAGATACAAACAACTGAGCCATTGTTTCCTTACTATGAACTTATCTCGTCCTTTCATTTAAAATCTAAGGGGAAGAAACTCACGCCTAAGAAAACAGGTCGCTCTTTGGATAAATTGCTGGAGAGATTTTGCTAATGCACAGACATGAGGCCTGGTGACATAAAAGGAACAGATGATCACAGAAAGCACTCAAGAAACAGTAATTACCCATTCGCCCTTCTCAGCCACCCCTCCGCACCCAGGCCTGTCTTTATGATTAAATTCAGTCCCATGTTCTGGCCAGATAAAATTAATATGTAAACATTATGTATTAAGTAATACATAAATCAAGACATAATTAATATAAAAATAATACAAAAGTACCCAATATAACTTATTACCTGTTCAATTTGGGGTCCATTCATCTAAATCCATGGCTACTCTGAAGGGAAGAACACGGCCTTAAGGGACAGGCTGACGTCCTAGGCTGGGCTGTCTCTGCCACTGACCAGCATGTGACTCAAAAGTCCCTCCGCCCTGAGGACCTGCCTTCAGTATTGTCTGATTGAGGTAATAGCATTAAATGGCCTAACAGCATCTGGCATGGAGCAAGAACTTCCTAAATCATATTATTGTCTTGAGTGGCCTGTTTAAATGACAAAGAGCAGGAGGTCCATTTGTTCATTAATTCCTTTATTTACATCATTATGGAGCACATTCTATGTTCCAGGTCCAAAGGAGCCACAAAGTTATCTGGGAGCCATCTCCCTGGAGCTTTGGGGGAAGGGGGTTATCTTACACAGCAACCCTCTGGCTGGGGGGAAGGATCAGGCTACCCCATTCAGCCCAGACTCTGAATGGCCTCGGGTTATTATAGAGCAGCTGTTCTCCAAACTTTGTGGCCACAGAACCTCTTTACACTCCCCAAAAGTACCCTCTTCTCTCGTTTCTGCTATAACAAACAAGCATTAACTACGTTGCATAAAGCAACGTAATTTTATTACCTTCCAGTTTTGAAGGTCAGAAGTCCTAAATCAGTGTCACAGAGTTAGGGTGTCAACCAGGCTGCTTCCTTCCAGAGGCTTTGGAGAGAGGGCTGGTTTCCTCATTCATGAAGTTTCTGAAGGGCTTGTGTCGCTCCCGACCCTTCCTCACAAAGCTCTAAGCTCTGCTTCTGGCATCTCCATGTGCGCCCGCTGATCCCCTCTTACTGTTACAGGGCAGGGAGAGGGGCAGCCCAGGCCCCGCAAACCTGCCTGCTCTAAATAGGTTCTGCCATCCGCCACATCAACACAAAACATGTAAGACTTTAATGGGAAGGAACTTTAATACAATTGGGAAACAATACAGGAAAGGCAAAGAATCTAGTTTCTAAATCAAGCACCCAAAGTGACCCGTCCCCTCGTGGGTAAAAGTCCATCCAAATGGGATTGGCCCAGAGCAAGGCCCCAAAGCCTGCCACAAGTCCAAAGCATCTTCCAGTGGGGACCCACAGAAAAGGGTCAGAAACAGCCAGATAAGTCTGGAGGGAAAAGAGCAAAATCAAAATCAAGACAAAAACCAACATTGTCACCTCCCCACGGGTCTCTCACCCACATCTGTGTCACCCAGTCCACGACCCCAAGGCAAGTGCAGTTTCTTCACGTGTCTCTCGGCTCCATGTGCCTCCTCCAGGTCTCCTTCTGGCTCCATCCTGCTTCTTTCTTCCTCAGTCTCCTCGGCAGCTTCTTCTCTCCCTGCTCAGCTCCACCCTCCCTTGGGTGGGGCAGGAAACCTGGAACCTCCCCCTTTCCTGGGGACCACGCTATGAATTACAAGGACCCTCCGGGCTGCTTCAGCTTCGTCCAGATGATCCAAGATCCACACAACACCTGCAAGTTCCTTTTGCATATAAAGTAACATTCACAGGTCCTGGGGGTGAGGATATGGACAAGGAGGCCCCTATTCAGCGCGCCACCAACCCCAAATAGTTGTGGTTCCTGTGGATTATATCTGCCAACATCCACCATGTTAGAAATTAAAACAGAGATTTCAACAGCATCATTTATCAACTAAAAACTATAAACTCTTAACAGGGTAACATAAGTAACATTTTAATGAAAAATAATTTGATCCTCCCCCACCCCCCAAAAAAGCAGTTAGAAGAGTGGCATGATAATACATTTTTACAAATCTCCTTAATGTCCAGATTAATAAAAGACAACTGGGTTGTCACATCTATTGTGATTTTTTTTGTTTGAAGTATAATGCCAATCTAACCTTACACAGCTATGTAATTGGAAAAGGACTGTATGTTTTCATAGCTTTTTGATATAATTGTGATTATTCTTCATTGATACTACAATAAAATTCAACAAGTGGTAGTTTCTTTAGAGGTTAGCTGTAATATGGAATCTGGAAACATAGCCATGAACTTTCAAACTCAGATGCAGTAAACCAGCTGGCTCCTTCTGAGGCCTGTTTCAATGGCTCTTTGATCAACACATGATTTTATAACATCATATTATAATACTGGTCATTGGAAAATATTGGCTCACTAAGTTATATGCTCCCACACATCGACACATTTCATTATACAATATTTAAAAATCAACTCATTAATATCATCGTGAGTTTATCAGAAAAGTCTCTGGGAAGCTGTCAACAAGTTTTCCAAAATTCTAATTTTTCCTGAAAACTGAAATGTTGTTATTGGCAGCAAATACTGTCAGTTGTTTTTCTGGAAGTGATAGGCTCACTTCACTCATTTTTGAGAAAATCTGCCTAATACCCAAGTCTGAATAATCACAGTTAATCAGTCTTGCTTTCAAATAAAAATGATGATCCAGGGGGAAAAAGCGGCCAGATCAGCTTTGTGACTCAACCAATCACACAAGTGTTTTTCTTTGAAACAATCACCACAACTTGGTGTGCAACATAAGGGCTTTATCTATGCCTCCTATGTTGTCAGACAGAATATTAAAAAGATATACACTCAAGAGTTAAGAATAAAATTAACAATTGTTATTGCTTCAAGTACATTCTTTATTAGAAATAACTTTGGCTTAATAGACATAAGCAGATATCTTAGTATTATTATGAAAATAGTTTTGACCTCAGTGGATTCCCTGAAAAGTCTTGGGGATTCCTAGGGGTTTAAAGACCACACTTTGAGAACCACTGCTATTAGAAGCCAATACCCCCAAGAGACTGGGGATCAAGAAGGAATGTTCTGGAGACTTTTGTTTGTTAGATATCACAGAGGCAGCTCTCGATAGCAGGTGCATGCTTGGGATAGACACATTTCTCAATCCTAACTTAAACCCTTTAGAACCTAATTTTTCCCCCTTAGAAACCTATTTTCACTGTCTGAATCATGAATCTTTTCCTTAATGGCTTCAAAAGTTTATCAAGAGAATCAAACATCAGCAATAATGTGATAATAAGTTCTCTTAACAGCTTTACTGTCGTGTAATTAACATGAAATAACTCTTCATGTTTCAAGTATACAATAATGTGTAACACATAGATAAGCTCCTGAAACTGTCACCACATGAACACTTCCATCACCCCCAAAAGGCACCTCAGGCTTCTTGGTAGTCCCCACCTCCCACCTGGATCTCATGCCCTGGCTCACCAGGTAAAGACAGATTTGCATTCTGTCAGCATAGATTGCTTTGCATTTTTAGAAACGTTATATAAATGAATTGAATTATATGTACCCTTTATTTGCCTGATTTCTTCCATTCAACATAATGATTTTGAGATTCTTCTGTGTTGTTGTCTATACCATTTCCTTTTGTTTTATCCTGGAGAAATGTTCCATTGCATGGACACACCGCAGCTTATGGATCTAGTCACTTGTTAGTGGACCTTTGCGTGGTTTTTGTTTTTAGACTATTCCAAATAAAACTGCTCTGAACATTTGTGTACACATTTTTGTATGAAAATCTGCTTTCATTTTATTTGGGTAAATACCTAGGAGCAGAATGGCTGGATCCCATGGTAGGCATATGTTTAGTGTTTAAGAAAATACCAAACTTTTCCAAAGTGGTTGCACTATTTTATATTCCCACCAGCAGTATGTGAAAGTTCCAGCTCTCCCACATCCCACCTAAGAGTTCATATGGTCAATTTTTTTTTTTAATTTCAGTGATCCTAGTATGTGTTAAAATGACATAAATACCAAAAATCAGTATACAAATATGAGGTTTCTGTATAATCTCAAGGTATATGGATTTAGCTTATATATACTTCCAGTTATTAGTCAGTTGTTTGGACCATTTGAATTCTTTTTTTTTTTAAGATTTATTTATTCATGCACACAAGAACCGGGGTACAGGTCAGACGCGCAGAGGGTGATTCACCAGAGACACCAGAGATTCACCAGAGACAGAGCGGGGAACAGAACAGGCAGACTGACTGAAATAAACTGTTGAGGGGAGCAGCTGGCGAGACAGGAGATGTCTGCTGCACCATGTGGGGTTCTCCCCCGCCAGCCAGGATCGAACCCGTGCTGCAGAGGCTGCAGACAGCTTCACAGCTCTGTGCTCAACCCGCTGCGCCACCAGGGGAGGCCCTGCTGCAGGAGGCCTTGTTGCTCCAGCCAGATAGGATACTGACAAGCAGCAAAGAAAAAGGGCCTCACACCGTGGGGCTGAAAATCTGGCATTCCTTTGCTTTTTATTCTTGGTCATAAAGAAAAAAAAATTTATCAAAAAGTATATTAGGCAATAAATTATATGTATCAGCATATTGTAAGTAAATAGCATAAAAAATTGTTTGTTTAAAAATTAATTGTTGGGCAGTTTGGCCCACTTGACAATGGAAAATGGTTTATTAAACATGCCTGACAAGCATTACAATACAATAATCATAGTAGGTCCTTCTATTTTGTTTTCTCTTGAAGTTTCTTGGGAAAGTTTTTAATATGAAGCTATTTGAGTTAAGGAGTTTCTAGGTAGAAAAAATTCTGATAGCTAAACAGCAGCTGGTCTCCGGCTGAAGGTCATGTGAATAGAATAGTCCTTTGATGCTTAGGCTTTAGCTGATAGGGATGCACTGGCGGTTATTCACTGTTTTAAATAATTGTCTAAATGAAAAAATAAGTAGCTTTAATGTTAAGTTTGGTTTATTATCTGTTAACCTTGAAAGCTGCCGTCTAGCTGAGACCTGTAGGGGCCAGTAGTCTGTGGGAAACATAATATACTAATTGTTTTTGCTTTACACTTGATAATGTATTTCCTTATTATTATTACTAATAATAAATAAATAAAGACCTACTGAGTCTCTCGGCAAAAAATACTAGCACCTCACCAAGTGTCAGTGTCTCCTCATTCTACCTCATCCCCTTCCCCTCAGCCCCTAAGTTTCAGCCCTTTCATTTTCGCCGACGCCGTCTCATCCTTTCAGGAACCCCTGACACGACGTTTTGCTGGAGGCTGGTCCCCGGCAAGGCCCCATTTTGAATTCTTACTTAAGATGGCAAATACCTCAATAGTAATCATGGTAAGTTTTTCTTTTATCTTCCAGAAAAATCTATTGAGTAACCTTGAGACTATTCTCTTCCTACCGCCTAAATTTTCTCCAAGCCACTTCATATCCACATTTCCACACAGTCAAACAGACATAGCCTGGGAGGATTTTACAAATGAAATGGTCACTTAACTAATCTGTGCCAATGACACTGGTAGTTTCTGTTGATTTTGTTGCATCCTTATGTCTGTAGGTCGGTTCTTATTTTCACTGTGAAGGCAGCTCCACCAAGATTTGGAACTTGAGTTGGCTGGAGGGCAGAATACGTTCAGCACCTTCCTGTACCTACTTCTTAAACAGGAGCAACCACACAATTCAATCCATCTTGGAGACATTCTGCTTTGCATCCCCGAATCACACTGAATCTCATGCCAGAAGGCCTTGCTAACTCTGATTGCTAAGGAGGAAAAAATAGATCATTAAATAGTAGGGAGGACCAAAATGATTTCTAAAAATAAAGACTAATTAGATACACTTTTTAAAAACAACTGCTTAGTTCCTTGTTTTTCCCTTTAATGTTAATTCGTGATGTTACTGCTCATTGTTGATAAACGCTTCTCCGCTCCCTCGCCTAGTGTTGGTAGCCTGATAATTTGTAAACACTTTTAAATGCAGTATCTCATATGATTCTTATGGTAAATCTAGAAAGAATGCCCATTTTTAAGATTAATGAAAAATGGAAAAAACTGGAGGTTTGAGAAAGTTAAGGGTCTGACCCAAGCAGCAGCTGTTAGATTTCTATTACGGAACAATCACCATACACTCGGCAGCTCAAACAACTCCAACCCATATATCAACATGCCCGTGAACTGGGAGTTGAGGCATAGGTCGCTCCGCTCTATGTTCTGAAATCAAGGTGATGTCAGAAGCTGAAATCCCAAGTAAGTCTTGGGGTTTTCTTCCAAACTGACACAGCTGCTGGAAGAGTTTGGGTCCTTGAAGTTGCAGGGCTGGGGTTCCTGTGTGCTTGCTGGCTGCCTGACAGGCTCAGTTTCAGTACCTCAAGGCTCTTTGAGCCCCAATCACGTGACCTCACACAACATGGCAGCCCACTTCCTCAAACCCACAGACAGACATCTCTTCAGCTGACTTTTATTTTCAAAATATAACATGACAAAAGGGCTTACTCCAGCACCCTTATCATTTAACATAAACTAACCAAGGGAGCCACTATCCCATTCCAGTCAAAGTTCCCACATGCAAGCCAGGAGGGGATCATACAGGGTGTGTACTGCATGTGGTGGAATCTTGGCAGCCATCTTAGAGATCTGCCCTGCACAGATTCACAGATCTCTTGTGAGGATCAGCGTTCATCTCCAGACAATGCAACCGTTTTCCACTTGAGCTGAAAAGATGGATCACTGGGACCTTAACACCTAAACACTTGTTCTCGATCACACCATGTCCCCCACTGTGCTCCTCTTCAAAGTCGGTGAGTCTCCTCTTCTCCAACGAAGAACATTTGACAAGATCCAGATTGAGTGACTTGATCTCGGATGAGGCTTGTCTGAAGTAGGTCAGGAAGGTATCCCGAGTGCCAGAAAGGAGCACTACTGATGGTGACACTCTCCGTCAGTGACAACATCTTTTCATGCCCTACACAGACAAGCTAGTCCTGTTGTTTGTGGCTGTCAACTCCCTTTGTAGAAACTGGCATCCTTTGCTTCTTCACGTCACAGTCATTTTCCCAGTGACTGTTAACACAGCGCTGCCCTCCAACCCAAATTTCCAATCAGAGTTTATTCAGAAGTTCTCAGTCATCTCAAGGCATGACCCTGATACCTGGGTCTGTTCTCTGGGGAAGTCACCCCTAGCTATCCAACGAAATTTGTTCTCCCCTTCAGGCATTAAGGTAAATGACATTTCCAAATCTCTCTCCAGGGCAGGAGAGGACACATGGCTTAGCTCTCACCAGTGAAATGTGAGTGGGAAGGATGTGAGCATTTGCTACCCTGGCCCTTAAGGACTCCACACTTGCTCCTTTGGGCAATTTCCCCTTACTTTGGCTAGTTGTAAATAAGGTGGGGATGGGGGACTTTGGGCACAAGGAAACCACAGATGGGAGGAAAGCTGCTTTCAGAACACACAGAATATTTCAGATAGTCTTCTGTGGTCTTGAGACATTTACTGTTTAGACACCTATTTGTTACCTTAGCCTGACCTAAACTAACACCTCTTCTGCCTCCACAGCTCCTAGCCCAGTGTTCCTCAGAGACTAAGCAATTGGATTCAAGGAATGAATAAGTGAATATTTATTCTTATGCAGGAATCTTGCCACATTCTATTCATTTTCTTCGTGCAGCCAACCGAATTTCATCTTAGCAAGCAATGAATGCTCTAACCTTTATGTGATAGAGATAAGAGCAGAGATTCAGAAGTTAAAGAACTTATGCAGAGTCAATATTGGTAAGTAGCAAAACAGGCTTCAAATGCTCCTTCACTTTCCATCTAGGTCCCATCTACCACTGTCCCCACTTCAGGATTTCCCTACCACTGAACCATCACCACCTTGTTTCACCAGGCGGAGTAGCAGGGTCATTGCTGGCCCATATGTCACCTTTGTATAAATTAGTACAGGGCACCCTTCATCAGGGTGCCTGCCAGAAATTTGTTGCAAGAAATATACAAGTTATATTCTATATCACGAATGTTCAGTGTTACTCCCTAGGTTGTTCAGTGTTCAACCTGAACAACTGTGCAGGGCTATCTTAGAGAACAACAAATTGTCATGTAGAGTTTGATCAAAATTTTAATATGATTGCTCTGTACAGTCGAACCTTGGAGTCAGAGGACTCTTTTGTGGGAGTTTGGTGGCTCTATTGTTGCAGGCATTTGGGGGGTGGGTATGGCCACTTGCCACTCATCAGACAAAACTTGAGAGACAAGAGGTTTAATCAGTTTCCTGCAGATGTGAGGACATGGCAGCCTACTGTCACAAAGGCCATCTACCCAAACTGGGGAGAAGCAGGGATTTATAGGGGAGACTAAAAAAGGAGGGGAGAAGCTAAAGGGTCTGTGTCAGTGGCATAAGAGGAAAATAGGCAGGGTTTTCCCGCAACTGCATTCACACTCCTTTTCCTTCCAGATGTGGTCTTTACCAGCTCTGTCATGGTGCTGGTGGGTGTGCTTGTCTCACTTCTGCCTCCATATTGGTCTCAGCCAGTTTTGTCTGCAAGAAAAGATAAACAGGAGCAGAGCAAAGATGAACAAGGTGAGGACAAGGAATTGTGGTTACCAGCCCTTGCCTCCCTTTTCATCAAAACCTACTAATGGGTACCTCGAGAAGGAGAGGATTGTCCATCGTTTCTCTTGGCTTCCATTCTTTAGCTGACACTGAGTTCCCAGGAGTAGCAACCAGACCAGACAGCTCAGCTTACTCCATCCAGAAGTGCAGTGGCTCTGAGCTTGCAGATCTCAGGCAAGTGCAGGAGGGGGCATCTGCAGAGCCATCAGCAGAATTGGGAGCAGCAAAGGCAGTTGCAAATGTAGCCAGACCACCCCTTATTGTTCTCTGTTGATCTGGAGATCACCTTGTTCCTCCAACTAGAAAGAAAATGAGTGGGGGAGGGTGGAATGCATTCATTGGAGCACCAATGAATCAGATATTTAAAGGAATCAGATATTTATGCTCTAAGGTAGTGCATTAAGAGCAGCCTGGGAAGAGAGGAGAGAGGGTTTGTTAAAATCTGACACAGTCACCAGAGGGCTTGGAGGGCCCAGGGAGCTATAATTCTCAGCTGCTGCTGCCCATACTAATTCACATTGTTTCTCGGTTTTTCTTTTCTTGAATGTGGATTTCTCTGTTTTAGGAGAGGAATTGCTTCAGAGCAGAATGAAATCGTAAGGTTAACTTTAAGTCCTTTGGAAAGAGACATTTGGGCTCTGTCATCAGCCTCCAGTTCATAGCTTCCTTCGTCTTTGTGAGTCTCAGTTTCTTCATCTGTGTAGTGAGAGAAGTCACAGCACCTATTCTGCAAGATTCTTGAAAGAAAGAGTAAGAAAATTAATGTCAAAAGCATTTCTCTAACTGGCTGGCATCAAGCAAGCACTCAGGAAATAGTAGTGATCATTTCCGATATAACAACAACATAAAATGAATACCTACCTTTCAGGAGGGTGACTAGATCTCCTCATCTTGAGCCATTTTGCAAGGTTTCCCCAAAAATTCAGTCCTTAAAATCTTGAAAGACATTCTGTGAGAATAAAATCTGTAGAGAAGAAGGAGTTCTATGCCTTAAATCTGTGCACTCACTGCCTGCCTCGTCTGCGTCCTCCTGCTCTCCCGCCGTGGATGGTGGCAGTAATTTCAACAGGGCCACGTCTTCTGAGCCTGAGAGATAAAGACAGAACTAGTCTAGTGAAACTACCATGGAGCCAGGGAGTTTCGATAAAGACATTTATTATTAAATTGTGCAGACCCCTTTGGGCTTGGGCTCCAGCTTCCCTCGCCCGCCCACCCGACACTGCTACTGTCAGAGCTGGATTTAAACTCAGGGACGTGCACCTGTAGAAGAAAGAGAACCCCAGGGGTGTGGATTCATCCAGGGAACGGTGAGGCAGAGCTTGCACATGATTGCCTCCCTCACCCCTCCCCTTTACTGGCAGCTAGTCCTCAGCAAAAAGAAGAGCTACTGAGTGGAATTTTTTCAAATTGATGTAAAAGTCCAATATGGTGCAAATGTGGTTATAGAATGGCTGTTTGTTCAAGTAGAACAGATATTCAGGGAAGAAAAAAATAGGAGAATGAAGGTGGAGGAGTAAAGGACACTCCCTGCAACTGAATGACAATGAGCTTTCAAAGCCCCAGAACTGTTGTGCAGGCTGTGCGCAACATTAACAACTGTACATGCACAACAGAAACCGCTACCTGGTGACCCCGAAAGACTCTAAAACCCCCTTCCCGTCAGCCAACAGTGATGGCACACCCAGCTGTGCTGTCCTTGAAGTTAGGCTCGCCCTTCTCTCAGAAAGCTCTGATCAGATTCCCAAGGTCCCTCCAAGGTCACAGAAGAGGTAGCAGTCGCTGTTTGAAGCTCAATTTAAATATTAGGCAGCACTGGAGACCAGCATACTGTTTCTGTTCTATTATCCTGCCCGTAGCTTGTCATCTGGGAGGATGCTGACTAGGTCTACAGGAGCAGAGGGCACTGGTGGGGGCACCAATCCTGCTCCTGCCTGCAGGGGTGTGTGGCAGGCTGCATTTTCCTCTGTCAAGTAGATGAGATACTCTCTCGTGTCAGGACCTGAGTGACACACACCTGCTAGTGAAAACTCAGGGCTGGGTCAAAAGTGACCTGGTCCCACATTAAGAAGGGGTGCCTCCTCTATCAGGCCTAGATCTGCTGTGTTGCTAAAAGAAAAAGAATGATCAAGAAACAGCCTTGACAAATACTATATTGTTTGTTTTTCCATTAGATGCATACTAGTCAGTGGTAAAAAGGCACATTGCAGTGTCTTTTTATGACCTTTGATGAAATACGCCTATTGGTTGCTGTGAATTTTAACATGAAACTCATTGTCTGGAATCTGTACAACTTTTGTTGTTTAACTTAATGAAATTCTCTGGATGTTGGGGAAAAAAAGAAGGGTGCCTTTCCCTTGTTTCCAGGGACCTACTTTCCTTTTTTTTTAAAAGATTTATTTATTTATGCATACAAGAGCTGGGGTACAGGCAAGAGGTAGGGGGAAGGTGAGAGGATTCACCAGAGACAGAGCAGGGAACAGAACAGGCAGACTGACGAAATACACTGCTGAGGGGAGCAGCGGGCGAGACAGGAGAGGTCTGCCGCGCCATGTGGGTAGCTCCCTGGCCAGGGATTGAACTCGTGCTGCAGTGGCTGCGGATAGCTTCATAGTACTGCGACTTAATCCCTTGCGCCACCAGGGAGGCCCCATGGACCCACTTTCACTGCAAGGGAGGTGGGATGGAGAGGCACATCTGTTGCCATTTCCAGTGGCCGTGCCCTCGGCCCACAGCAGGCAAAGCATGCCAGGACCATGCTCGCTGCGGCTGCCAGCCACGCAGACGGAGAGCTGGGGTGTCCTCTCTCCTGGGCCCTGCAGATGGGAAGCATCTATGCCACCACATAAGTGATAGTCGGGCATGTTATTCTCACATATCCCACCTCCTGGACACACGTAGGGGTGCTCATATGATGGGTTTAGGATCTGGTCTGCATTTTTTAAGGGGGGAAAAGAGTATTTTGGGACTTGAAATAAACCTCTTAGGAAATCCCAGTTAGTCATTTTTTGTTTGTTTTTGTCTCTTTCTTTGGTAGGTTGATCTTGAGGTTAATATTAAAAAGATATTATAAAGACTCCCAGAAATCTGTAAAAGATGGGGAAACCATGGGATGTTTTCTGGGTCAGACTGAGTTTGCTCTGAAAATGGAGCCTGTGTAAAGTTTGATGATGGATAATGAGGCAGAAAGATGAGCGGGGTTAACAGCATGGAAGGGAGTTTGGGGGTTGGTGATGGGGTGATGAAATCGGAGTGGAGTGCCACAGGAACGGGGAGACAGGGAAGAGGAGAGGTTGCTAAGCAACTTCCTGGGGCAGAGGAGAGAAATCTTGCACGGGCGCTTTCCAAAGAGCGGCTTTGCGCCCTGGGTGGCTATCTGGGCTGGAACAAACAGACCCGAGAGGTTGGTCACACCTAGCTGGTAGCCAGCCGCTCATCCTGAGCTGCTTCCTGCAATAATAAACATGCAGGAAGAGTTAAGGGCACAGAACCCCAGGAGGAGGGCGGCACACAGTCTGAATGGCGGCCTGGGTGCAAAACAAAAACGAAAGCTGTTATTCTACAATTTGTGCCACGGAGGGGATAATGGCATGACGGTCGGTGCCAAGAGATGTGGTTTAAAAATGCATTTACTGAGTGCCAAGCAGGTACCAGGCGCGGTGTCACTCGTGGGGAAGAAACATGATCTTGTCCATAGGCAGCTCCCCATCAAGTGTGACAGGCTCACTGCAGATCGCGCCCCGGCCCTCTGGCGCATGGATCAGAGCCCAAGAGTTCAGACGGGACTCGGGAGCCAGGACTTGAATCCTACAGGCTGCGTCTCCAGCCATGTGACTTTGCAAAAGTCAACGCATCTCTAACGTGGAAAGCAGGAAGGATCAGTGACTGTCATAGAGAACTGACTGTTGACAACTGTGCAAGGACAACGCTGAGCCAACAGGAAGGCTGGTTAAATAGGTTCCAAATAAAGGGCCGAGGCTAAGATGGCGCGCTGGGCTGGGTGCACACATGCACTCTCACAAAGGTGGCGCCAGCGAGGCTGGGCCCTCCTACGTCTCACCCTTGCTATGAAATGGTGTGCAATTATCCTACTGGGCGTTGCACACCGTTGTGAGACACTTCTCTGGAGGAAGGATGCACAGATGCACCCCGTAAGGGGGCACTGAGTCTGAAAAACTCATAATTTCTGTGCACCCCTCCAGCTGGCCTGCTCGCCTCTTCTTTCACCGGCAGGAGACGAACCTGCACCTTTGCTGCCAGCAGAGTTCTACTCCAACTCCTGCTCGGCGCAGGGCCCTTCTGCCTTCCTTCTCCATCTCCAGGCTGCGCCCCCTGGCAAGGCTGCCTCCAGCTCTCCTGGGGATCCCCTGTGTATCCCTGGAGCTCACGTGGGAAGCTTGCCCTTGGGGTTTCCTGGTCAGGTAAGGAGGCTGCCGGCGGAACAGCAATAAATTTCGCTCTGCAGACCAGCACGCGGAATTCACATTGTCCCCGTCCCCACAAGTGCCCTCGTGACACCGGGCTGGCAAGAGCCGGCCAGCCAATTGCCACAGACAGAGACGAGGCCAGCTGTGCGGCAGGCAGGAGATTGATGGTACAAAGGCTCTGCAGACCAAAGAGAAAGAGGAAGATGTCCGAAAGGAGGGGGCGGCAAAGCTCTGAAAACCCCTCGCCTCTGCAGGTCAGGGGACGGGGTGCCCTCCCCGCACCCACTGTGTCCCCATCAGGAGCCGTCACTCCGGTGTCCAGACCCAGATCGCCAGGCCCACCCGGATGGAGAGCGCACCCTCTGCCCTCAGGACTTGCCAGGAGACAGAAAATTATCAGACTACAAGGAAGCCCAAATTTTCTGCCCCAAAGGAGCAGTTTGGGTCAATCCAGATAAAGGGTGAGAGTCCCAGCTCTCTCACTTGATCCAGTTCTGAGGGCCTCTGACTGGAGATGCTCAGACATCCCTTTCAATGCCTCACTCCCAGGCCAGACCATCATTTCCGTGTTGAAGTAGCCGGCTTCTTCAGGACACAGTAAAATGCCACCATCGCTCCCCGCGGGCGGGCGCTCCTCCGAGCCCCCTGTGGTTGGCTGGCTCTCTCCGTCCTCACCCATCTGTCACTCTGGCCCGGGGCCCACTTACAAGTTGGTTTGACCCTTGACCTCGGGCACACATCCAAGGCAATATGGGCTTGGATGGCCGGTCTGAGTAATGCCGGAGGTGCCATCTGTCCCGCAGGAAAATCATCCTCTGTGTCATTCCTGAAGCCTTGGCTCCATATTTTAATCACAGCTGGTAATTGTTGTTTGCCAAGATGAAAGCTACCTGACCAGTCAGGCAAGGAGGGTGCATGAGGCAGAGGTAACTTGAATGTTAGCTCAAAGTTTTGAGCCACAACAGGATCTCCTGGAAAAATATGAGTAACAACGGTAAATAATAATAGTCAATAAAATTAGAAAAATGTTCGAGAACAAGGAACTGACAAAAAACTTTGAAAAACCCAGAAAGATGGCTATACCCTGGGGGAAAAACTAAGCAAAGGGTTTTGTCAAAAATCAAAAGTACTAAGAAGGTTCTTGAAGTAGTCTTCCTGCAGATCTTCCTGATTTGCATGGAAGTTGCTTTTTCTCATCTCAGAGTCCACCCAGGTTTCTCTTAGAGAAATCCAGAACTCCAGCTTTTCAACAGCATTGGATGTGATGGAGGGAGAGAAGCAACCCCAGAAATAACCCTTAGTCCCCGAGCCACAGGGTTGGAAGGCATCTCTCTGCCCCCAAGGTCTCTAGGCAGAATTGGAAGCAATTGCCGGAAAAGCCAATTTCAAAACACTCCCTTAGCTTGGATTTATTGAATGAGCTTATCAGACACGCCTGGTTACCAGCAGAAAGCAACTGGCTCCTCCTGACAGGCATACCTTGGAGACCCCCAGCCTGGCCGTCCCCGCCGCGGGGGCCAGCCCAAGCAGACCTGAGAGTTTTTCCTGTGGCTCCAAAATACTAACAGCTCCAGACCAGACCGTGCAATCTCTTACCTGTATTTTTGTTCTTATTTTTCTGATGTTAATTTAATATCCCTCCCCTCTTCTTGGGCCTGCCTT